TCCCGTGACTGAAATGGTGTCTGTGTAGATTTCTCCCGTTCCTGGTTTCGCGCGACAACGTTGCGCAGCTACTTATTCAATAATAATGCGAGTTTGCAATTTTAGTAGCGAATATTTATTTTTTTGGTTTAATTCATATTGTTTACAGTCAGATCTCCCACCTAACTGCACACTATAACATTAGTGGGCTTTCATTGTAATTGGTTGATTTCTGTAGATCATCCCGTGATATTGTAAAAATAATCAAAATTATTCGCAAGACAAATTTTATACTATACGAAACTATATTCTGATATAATTAATAATTGAATATTCGTTACTACCGCATAAACCAAATTGGTACTAATAAACACATTACTATGAAATCTATCAACTGAAAACCTAAACCATCATCCATCCTGATACAAAAAAAATCCAAGATCTTATTTTTTTTAAAAAAAATACTATTACATCAATTTAAAAAAAAATTTTATATACATAAAAAGCACAAAAAACAGATAAAAAAATATAACCTATTTGTTTTAAAGATATAAAATAATTTTTTAATTGTATATGATAACAATTAATTAGTGCCAAATGAACTTAACTATATTCTAAATTAATGAACATGCTTTAATAATAGACGTAACACTATATTTTAACCTTTATAAAGTTCGCAAGCTCATGTTTTCATTGCTTCACATCACTAATCTGTCTTTAGAAAAATAAATAAGTTATAAATAAAATAGATTAGCGTTGTAAACCTTTTAAAAATTGACTTATTTTACCAAGTTTAATACATTGTAGATTATATTAGTTAAATTGAAACGTCTAAACATACCTCCAATCTACCTTCAAAATTACCTCATCAATTACAAAATTACTTTGATATGTTGTAGAGCCGAAGGTGTAGTTTCTAAATTTTCATGTCGTAACCCCTGCGAATTCATATTCGACTGCGAAATTATTTTTGTGCACTCTTATGATAGCAAATCGTTACTTTAAATAAGACTTTATTATGATTATTTTCAAAAATCAGCCAATCATAATAAAGCACGCTATGCTGGACCCACCTAATATAATTTAAATGCAATACCGATACGTACAGTTGCTTCCAAAAGTAATGCCCGATGGTTTTTTTTATAGTAAAACATATAACAAATTGAAATTTATATAATATATAAAAGTTAATATTTTTTTATTTAAACCTTTTTATTAATATGATTAGTAAAATCAATATTTATATTTTATAATATATGAGTTTCATTGAGGCAAACAAATTGAGATTGATTTTTTTTAAATTACAAAGTTTACAATTCAAAATTTCACATGTAAAATATAAATTTTGCAAATTTGATTTTAAAACTAAATTTTAAAAAAACTTAACTTTAATTATTAATAGTTGTACTATTGTATTTTAAAATAAAAAACCATTTTTATGAAAAAAATGTAAGTTTTAATATAACATAAAATTTACAATTCAATTTTATAAAATTTCATAATAAAAATATAATAAAAATATAAAATTTTAAACTTGTTAAAATTCTGAAGTTTTAATAATTAATATTTTTTAATTTTATATAATTAGAAATTTGATATTTATATTTTATGATATATAATTTTTCGCCAAGACAAAAAAAATTGATTTGTTTTTTTTTAATAACAAAATTTCTTAAAAAGGAGTTTGTATAAATTTTATTGTAATATTGGTCATCGGGCGTTACTTTTGGAGGCAACTGTACCTCTCTAAATGCAATACCCTAAATGCAATACCTCCTTAAATGCAATACCCCAAATGCAATACATCCCTCAGTGCGCGTTTGGCACGTTTGACTAAATCGTGACTTATCGTCTGTCACAATGCATTTAGAGAGGTATGACTGTAATAATCTTTTGTGCTTTATTATAATTAGAAGTTGAATGTTATCCGGATTTAATTTACCCAGAATTTATCAGGATAGCATAGAAATGAGAGTTTTGTTCTAAAAAATAGGCATTTTCCGGAACGGTAGTTTGGAGAAAGTTTGTATACGTTTGCCGAAAATTTTTTAGAGGTTATACAAATATTTTAATGGCATTATCTTTGTTTGTCTGCTTTCTCGAATTGTTGTGAAATTAATTGGTTAGATCTAATGTTACTACATACCAATTAAAAAATACAACAAAGCATAGTACATGAACACAAATTATTTATCATTGTTTTACAATACGTATTAGGACGGATAGATAAATATTTATTGCATATGCATGTACATACGCATGTACATACCTAAAGCTGCTTCCGGCAGATATTAACTTCAGGAACGACGTACTTTCCTTTCTAGTTGTAATTCAAATTTGCAGGTTAAGGCGAAAAATCGAATGACTTTTAACTTCCAATGGCTTTCAAAAAATTTAAAATTCGATTTGTTTTTGTTTTGATGATTATATTTGTGACCTTTTATTCCTTTCATTTTATTTTTAAATATAGAAACTCCGATAATATAGATGATTTAGAGACTAAGTACTTAACCTACCTTCCACACGATGGTTTCAATAATCAAAGAATTGCATTGGAAAATTCAATATTCTTGGCATGGTTTTTAAATAGAACCCTGTTAATTCCACCTCTCCTTCTTTTCAGTGGAGGTGCACCATCTGTATACCAGCAATATGATAAATTATACGATCTTTTATCAAAATCTATACAACCTAAAAAAAACCAATTTGAATTTTGTTCTAAAAGAAAATGTAATAGCACTTCATGTCTTGAGAAAAATCCAATGAAATGCAGAAACGTAACTTATACCCTATATAATTGGGAAGAATTAGTCGATTTTACTTTTTTGAAAAATAATATTAAATATATTCATCGTCAGGATTTTAATTTTAGTTACTTACTGGAATCAATTCACATTTATAATAGTACAGAAGTATATAACGTGACAAAAGATGAACATCGATATCAACAACGATATTATGATGATGCTACATCAACAATAGAACTTGGTAAATTCAAAGAACGAGTCAATTTAACCGATTTAAGCAGAAGATCCGAAAAATTAATACATTTTGGAAGTATATTTTCACCAAAAAGAATTGTTCGACAATTACCTGAAAGTATTGAATTTTGGAATAAGCTAATAAATCAAATGTTACCGAACAATCCAATTATAATTAATATAGTCGATAAAATTATTGATAAAATTGGAGGAACGAATAGTTTTATTGGTGTACATGCAAGATTAAAAAATGGATTCTTTGTCAAGCGTCGAAATAATACTGTACAAAAACTCATTAATAGAGTTCAAACAGATTTTAAAGATAACATTTGTTTAACAACAAAAATATTTTTAGCAACAGATTTAAAACAAAACCATATTTTTCTTAAACCATTCTTTCAAACATTCTCATGTATTTATATATTAGATGATTTTATTGACTTTTTAGAACCTTTAAAAGGTTTAAAAAACCTTAGAGATGGTATTATTTTGTATAATTTTCTTATACCGTTAGTAGATTTATTTGTAGTATCAAAAGGTGGTAAATTCTATGGGACAGAAAATAGTACTTTTTCAAGTTATGCACAACGATTAAATGAAGTATGGATTAGATGATTAAAAATTATAGTTAGGTATATCTATATTGGACTATTCATTATAATTCTTTTTGGAGGATTTACATATAAGTGCCCCAAAAGTGAAAATAATTACAAATAAGGGCCCAACTCAAAAAATAACTATATATAAAGGCTTAATATTTAAAAAATATTACATATAAAGGTTCAAACCATCAATAGTTGAAAAAAAACGCGATTACGGAATTACTGTGATATAGAAGCACTATGATTACAAGAGAACTAAGATTATAAAATTGTTAAATGTATTCATTATTTGCATTTAAGCATTTAGTGTTTCAAATTTATTGAATAAAGGATAATAAATCATTGATTATAATTATTTCACGATAGTATTTATTAAAAAATTTAAACATCACGTTTAAGAATTAAGCATCTATGCATATTACATCGAACTAAAGACACCAATTTTTATTTCTTTGATATTTTTAATTACAAGTACATATGTTATGTTCTCTTTTTTCATTATATAAATATGTTTTTTGTAATTACTTTGCTTGTTTTATTATTGCTGGTGACAACATTTTGTTATCAAAAAAAACATTTTTGCATTAATATTTATAGACATTTACAAAAACTTTAATAAAATATATAAAATGAATAAAATGTGAAAATTTTTTATATGCCTTAAAAATGATTATATATAAATATATTTAAGAAAATTGATATTCTTGAAATTGCTTATAGATGCAAATAAGGTAAAATCCAAAATTCAAAACTTATCATTATAGTTTTTAATTTCAAAAACACTCATTAACTTGATACACTATTTTGTTACAATATCTGCTAATAACAAATTAAAGTTTTTGAATAGTATAGACAATAATATTGTTTAAATAATTGTAATAAATGTATTAATTCTATGCATAAATAAAATAACTATATAAAATGATTTATAAGATGCTTATTAACTAAAAATTTATAAACTCGGATATATTAAAAGTAAATTAGTTAAATATATTTTATGAATATTTGCTAAAGATTACATTACAAAAAATATTTTACTAAAATAAATAAATGTTTTCTTATATAGAATAGAAATTTCTTTATACTTTAGTTACAATTTAGATTTTACTTTAAAACTTATTTTGAACTTTATATTAATATTTTTTATATACTATATATAATAAATATAAAAAGTGTTAAAAAATTTTATTGTACATTATTGGAAATATTTTAAATATAAACAATTATAAATATTAACAATTATTGTATAATTTCATTATATTAAAAGTATTAAATATTAAAATATTAGTATATCTTTTTATAGTTATTTATAATTATAGTTTTATTTAAATTAATTAATAAAATAACTGCATATAAATACTTATAAAATTATATTAAGAGTTAGGATTTTATAGCCTAGTGGTCTAGGCATCCTGCCTTCTATAGACAAGATTAATAGTTCAATTTTAGCTAGAAACAAAACTCTGTAATCTACAGAAGCATATAAATGTACATAAAGTCCTGTAGTTAAGTTTATGTGAATAGAAGATCAGTATATAAAAAAGTTCCTAAAAAAAAGTTTTTAAATATAAAGAGTTGATGTTCAATATAAAAGAAGTAATAAACATATCAGAAATAGAGAAAAGACATACTAATGAGTAATATAGTAAACATAAAAAGAAAACTATAAAAAAAGAATAAACTTACAAAATTTAAATATCTCTGGCACTAAACTGGTTTTAAAAAATATAGAATACACTAATATTAGATAAAAATCTAAAGGGTAATCTTGATATTATACTTAGTAAGTTTGTATTAAGGGTAAATTAAAAAACTATGAATATTTAGTAATATCTAATAAAGTAGTACTTTGATATAAATAGTAATTAGATAGTTCTAATCTGTTTTCTCATAATAATAATAATGTAAATTATTGTATATTTATACAAATAAGTGTTAAAAATTAAAAAATTTAAATAAGAACCTAAAGACAGATCTTAGTTATAGCATCTAGTAGATAACTAATAAACAGAACTCTTAATTAGATAATAACTAAAGTTATACATATTTCTAGTTATATATTCATTAATAAACTTTGTATATAAATATATAATTATATATTACTAATAATAAAAAGACATTGAGAACTCTTTCTGCAAATCCATTGCACAAAAATTAACTAAAAAATCCATTCATCAAAAAACATTTATAACTATTTATTTTACTAAGACAACCTATCCTGGTGTCTTAAGTAAACTTGTTCAGCTCTACATTTTACATATATTTTGCAAATATTATATTTTTAGCTTTTAAACTCATTGAGAAAACTGTACTGACAGCCTTTGGTCCCAGTTTTAATAATTAATTTTCACAGTTTCTAATGTAATAACATATCTTTTACTCTTAATTAAAGTTATAATACACATTTGCCTAATCAAAACAAGCTCTAAACGAAGAATTTTAACCTAATATTGGCTGAATTACAACAAAATTTACTTTTACTTTTTTGTAAAACTTTTTCTTTCTTCTATTTTTGTTCCTACTTATCTCCTTTTTTCCTTACACGTTTTTCATATAACTATATTATCATTTCCTAATCCATATTTTATTAATTTACATAAAAATTTTCTGTAACCTATCTATAAATAGAAATTCATTCAACATAACTTAATTAATTCTATATTTAGTTCTTATTACTTATATATAACAGTTTGTACTACAAATCTTATTTGTGTACAATACCCAAGTCATATCAGTAACCCCAACTATCCTAGTTACACCCTGTGTTATTCCAGTGACTTCTCAACTATACAACCCCTGTTTTTAATCACTACCCTTATAAATTAACTATTTGATCACAATTTTAACTTAGAAAAATTTTCTAAATTATTACTATATTACCTACTTACTTATTCATATTCCAAAAATGCCTACATTAATCAACCAAGAGCCAGATATAGCAGACCTTTACTACTTTTACCAAAACTTTCCTAACAGTTTTGGAATTGCCCTTTATGAAGAAGAAAGTGGTAATAATGCTTGTTCAATTTCTCCTAAAGTCAAACCTACTACTTACTTAACTAAAAACCTTAGATCTAACAAAATTACTCATTTCTTTCAAGCTCCTTCTTTCACTTCTATAATTACTTGTCTCTATGGCAAATATTACACTAAATTTACCTCACCTACCAATACTAATCATATCCAAGTTACTGAACTTACTACAGTTTATATTAATAGCAATTTAAAGAAAAATCTAAACAGACCAACTCAACAACTTATGACTAATCTCTCCTCTTCAATTGACAGTATCCCTCCATCTTCTACACCTGACATCCACTACCATACCTGCCCTAAATGTTCTCTTCCAATTGGTTATATCAAAAAATTAAGTATCACTACCCTAATGAAAAATACATCACAAAGAATAATGAAGTTTACTATCTTGCTTGTATAACTGCTTCATCTTAATATGAAGCCAGCTCATCTCAGACCAAAAAAATCTTACACAAACTTTCCAAAATATTCTAAATAAAACTTCTCAAACTACTAATTCTCCCATTGCCTCTTTTCACCAAAACTCTCAAACTGCTTCTAATCTTATTGATTCTTTCTTCTCTACAGCTACTAATACCAATCCTGTTTCTAATTAACCTCCAATTCTTGCTATTCTTGATAAATCTAACCTAAATTCTAACAATTCTAACAACTCTAATCAATCCAACAATATTTCAAACAAACCTCTTTCTCAATCCTATTCTAGTTTCACCAAGCCAAAATCTAATTCCACATATGACTGGGTTGCAAATTTTCTTATTACTGAAGAAATGCAATCTACTAAAAAACTACAAACTTCATTCTCTCTTCAACTTTTTACTTTTCTCAAAAAATTCCTCTATGATTTTTATTCTGACAAGAAAATCAAGCCAGCTAACACTATTCAACCTGTACTTAAAGCTTTATTATACTATATCATCCACATTATGGCTGGGCAATAACCTGAATTCTTAACTGATCTTATTTATAATAGTAACCCCAACATTGACAAAAATGCTACTATTCCTTTCGATCTTTTCGAATTTATTCTCAAAAATCTTATTCTTAAATTTACAACTATTCATTTTATCAAACTTAACTATCTTGAAATTTTTGTCTCACCAGTTACTGTTCCTTCATATATTGCTCATAACTGTCTCCAACTTTGTCTTAACCTTGCATAACTTTATTTCTTCTTATCTAATAACTACCAATCAATCGATTATCAAAAATTTGCTAAAGACCTAAAACTTAGACCTAAAAGATTCAAAATTGAATCTTTTACACAAAATACTAACCTTTAACAAAAATATCTTACTATTCAATCTGATACTAGATTTAATATTAAACTTCTTTTTAATATTCCTAAAACACTTTATTTTGAGAGATTCTGTATTCCCTTACTTAAAAACTCTCTTGATCATTTTAACTCCTGGTTCGAAACTTACTTTTCACCTTATAGCCAACAATTCTCTTCTAACATTGATAAAGGAAAGTTCATACTTCTCTTAGAATTCAATTCCAATAACATTTTATCCTCGAATTATTTAAACATCTTCCTAAATCATATACATTTCAAAAACCTAACTCGCTTCATAAACAATGTGAAAAAGCATCTCAAGTTACTAATTTTCACTATCTTATTAGTAAAAACAAGTTATATGAATATCTTGATGATAAAAAACTTCATGACAGCACCAAGCTCTTCAATGACATCCTAATTAAATCTGCTTATTATTTCCCCTCAAGATGATGAAATATAGATTCATCTAACTCTTAATACTATACTATTCTATAAAAACAAAAAACATGTTGCCTCACTTGATAAACCTATCTCTACCAAAGCTTTGGACAAATTACTGACCAAGCTGAAGACTTTGTATGTACACAAAATAAAGTCAAAACCAACCCAAAACACTGTAATTACTATTTTTATTACTATCTCTACTTATACTATCAAACTGCTACTGAAAACTACAACATACAGTCTCTCTCTAA